CAAGTTTGGGTCCCTTGTAGTGAGGAAAAGGGCGAATTAAACTTCTTTTTATCCAGGCAGGCAATACACATTTTTAATGAAGGGACCAAGTTCCTTAGCAGTAGTTACCTTTTCAACAAGAACCTTGTTTTTCTGTTGGGATTGAATTCTAGCCTTACAGTTTTCTTTAAAGTGTCAAGTGTTGCCACAGTGAGTGCAAAGCCAGTTATCAGGGATAATAACATGCTTTCTATGTGGTTGTAGGGAGTTTTTTCCTTTTGGAACCCGACTCCATGCCTGTTCCTACCATTGCTTGTATACATGGCAGTGATTGTATCAGAGCACTAGGCCCACTTTAGAGATTTTTCTAGGTCATTTTTAACTCTGCCTAGATCTTCTTGAAGTTGTCTGTTTCTTTTAAGTTCAGCACACAGATTAGATTTCACAGATTTGAGTTCATTTTCAAGCTTAATGTGTGCCTCACTAGCAACTTCCTTTCCCTTTTGGTTGTTATCAGAATTATTTCCCCTTTTTAGTTCCTCAATTGTTTCTTTTAGATCCACAACCACTACCAAGTACTAACATGCCATCTATCTCATGTTCTATGTTTTCAATTTTTTCAGTTAGAACATCTTTGTCTTTCTTTAGAACCTCAATGGTTTCTTTTAGATCAACCACTATGACTACCGGATCATCTCTCTCATGTTCTACCTCTCCTAATTCCACAGTTAACATATTTTTATCATTTATAAGGCTATGATAATCATCAATTAAAACATTTTCCAAAGATATAAGCTTCTTCTCAGAGTAAGACTTTAAATTTCTTTGAACGTCTAGAAAGTTTACCTCATCATCATCATCATCATATTTTGCCACTAGGGCAAAGATAGAGTCATATTCAGTTGCTTCACTTTCCACTGCCATCATGGAGGTGTCACCTTGTTCATCATCTTCTCCAGCTTCACTAGAAGAGTTTCCCCATGCAGCAAGAGCTTGTTTCACAACATTGTCAGTGACATCTTTTCTCTCGAATCTTTTGTCAGGAACTAGGTTTCTCTTGACTGCTTTGTCTGTGTTGTGCTTGTACCGGTCTTGCTTGAGGAAAGGATAGTCCTTGATAAAGTATCATGGCTTCCCACATTTATGACACAAGTCATACCCTCTTGGCTTGCTGGAGCTGCCCCTTTTTGGAATACCTCTATTCCCGCGAATCATTTTCTGAAATCGCTTTGCCAGGTAGACCATGTCAGCATCCTCACCACTTGAGTTATTATTATCTGTCTTGAGGACTCGCTACTTCTCCTTTTGGGCTCTCTTCTTTTATGGTCCTTCTTCTTCTTCTTCTTATTCTTCTTCTTCTTCTTCTTCTTCTTCTTCTTCTTCTTCTTCTTCTTTTTTTTCTTCAGATTACCAATGAGTTCATCAACGGTCAACTTTTGTAAATCCTTAGAACTCCGTGATAGCATTTACTTTGCTTTCTCAGGAACCAAGTAATACACTGAGTATTTTCTTGACAAACTTGTTCCTTGGAATGATCTCTCCTAGAGAATGAAACTCGTTGATGATAGAGGTGAATCGAGGGTGCATGTCCTGAATGGACTCATCACCCTTCATCCTGAAGAGTTCATACTCAGTGGTGAGCATATCAATCTTCAACTGCTTGACTTGAGTTGTTCCTTCTTGTGCTGTTTGGAGAGTTTCACATATCTCCTACGCAGATTGACAAACAGAGATCCTGTATATTCGTCTGGTCCAATGCCACAGATGAGTATCTTTTTTGCTTGGAAGTTATTCTCTATAGTTTTGTGGTTAACATCATTGTACTCCTTCCTTGTCTTGGGAACTGTCACTGCTGGTTCACCAATGGTCTTCATAGGAACGAAGGGTCCATCACAGTGACATCCTAGAGCTCTGAATCTTCAGCCATGATAAAATCATGCATCCATGTCTTCCACCGTCCGTAATATTGTCCATTGAATCTTGGTGGTCTGTAGGTAGATTGACCTTCTTCAAAGTTTGCTGAAGCAGTCATGAGGATCTTTTCTAGGTGTTAGCCTGATAGAAAGAATCTGCTCTAATACCAATTGATAGAAATTTAGGGTCCACCAAACTATATAGAGAACCAGGTTCTCTATCAGTTCTTACAGAACACACACAATAAGAGATAAATAAATAACACAACAGAGTTTTACATGAAAAACTCTCAGCTCACGGGGATTAAAAACCACGACCTACACTCGTAGGATTTCAACTTTACTAATCGAGCAACTTTAGATTACAACCTATTGTAACATAGGAATTAAACTCTTAATCCCTCACTCACTTGTAATAACTCTATTACAAGCCTCTTTGTAATAACTCTATTATAAAGCTCACAACTCGGCTAACTTTGGTCAAGACACAAACACAAGGTTTATGGTTTTACAAATGAGTTCTTACACAATGCTTCTAGCTAAGCTAAATAGGAATTACAAATAAATAACTCTAACAAAGGTGAAACACAACTAAGGACATATAATAACACAATGCTGAAAATTGGTCATTCGTTATGTTGTTCTTTGTTCTTGAGCCTGGAAGTCACTTGTAAGATGGAAACACACTTGAGAGGAAACTTGATTAATACTTTGATGTGGAAGTGTGTGTTTTTCCTTTTCTTCATGTTAATAATACCCAAGTGATGTCACTTGGATGATGCAAGCAAATATCCGGTACAAGACATTCCCCATAAAGTGACTGCTGCACCGTTTACACTGTTGCGTGTGTGTAGAGGAACACAGTTGCAGCGAATTTACAGCTGTGGGAGTTGATTGGTACAGGAGAACTGATGTCCATTTGTTCCCTCTGTCGTCTCTTTGACTCTGATTATTGGAACTTGTGGACTTGTTATTCTTGAGCACTTTGAGGATGTGTAATAGGTTCCAGGTTTGGTTCTTATCTTTTAGTTTGTTAGATTATCAAGACATTACAGGGCACATAATCTATTAGCAAGACATTCAATTTTGAAAGCAAAAATTTCATTGAAATATCAAATATGGATCGTTAATGTTTTTAGCCATCCCCATCTTTAAATGAATCAAGGAAGATACAATACTTTCTAACATAAATTCCTAAGCTGAATACTTGAAACTAAAGAGACTTCTAGACATGAAGTCCTAGCTTTCAGCAATAATATTTCGAAAACTCTGAAAATGAATCAGATAAAGTCTTACCAAAACTAAATATCAAACCGATAAGTGTTAAAGAACAAATGAAACAGATAGATACTGCTACACAGCTTGAAGAAGGTAGCACAACGTATAAACCAGTCATAAATGCTACCATCATTGCTACCATAGCAATCAAGACAAGGATGCCAGCAGTTACATAACGATTCAACCTTTTGGTCTCTCGTTCGTAAGTTGCAAGGTAATGTAAGAACATTGCAGAAGTTGAAGATGTCATGGCAAATGTATCTGCTACTGCGAATACTTGAAATGCTGCTTTCTTCCATAGGATTGCCATGCCTTTATTTGGACCATCGTCACCATTGTAGCCACCAGGAATGGTAAAGCCAGCCGCGAAAGAGACTGTTGCTATGAGAGTAGCCACTATCAAATGTGTGTTCGCTCTTTCTTTCCATACTTCCATGCATTCTCTAAGCATCTCTTCACGTAATGATGTCTGTGAAAATTAATATAGTTAAAAATATAAGTGTATAACTCCATTGTGGTATAAAAATCTCTTCAATTTTCTTCTTGTAAATATAACTCATAGTATACACAAATATTTACATGTCTGATTCTGTCGAGATCTATTTCCTCCAAGCGAGGGTGATATAACACGATTTTCCCTTTAGCATGAAAGGGCGTGTTCCCATCAGCGTCTTTCTGATCTATGAGGTTTTGGAGCAGGTGTTGTCTGCCAAGGAAATCTCTCATTTTTGAATTCTCCCTCGAATTCTCCTTATTAGTGCATGCAAGGTGAAGAAGATTTTGGCCATGGCTAGTGACTGCCTCCAAGGTATCTGGACATTGATTTAAAATCTCTTCCACAACCTCATGATTATCATTAATGGCTGCTAAATGCAGAGGTGTCATATTGTATTCTCTGATGGTTTTATAAGCCATTTCTCTGTCTGCAACTAATAATTGTTTCACTATTTTTGCATAGCCGAAGTATGCCGCGAAATGGAGAGAATTCCATGCAAATTCGTCTACTTGCTTTGTCAAAGTTCCTTCCTTTTTTACTATCATTTCCAAGCATTCTACCCAAAGGAGTAGTCCTAGTTAGTAAGGGTAATTCCAACAAATGTGAAAAAAAGGAAGTAAAAGAAATATTTGTACAAACATTCAGAGGAGAGAAGGTTCTTTACCTACTAGAATACCTTTTTCTTTCATGTTGTTTTCTTCCTTTGTAGGACTTACCAATGTTTTTAAAACCAACCAGACATCAGCAAACTTGAATCACAACTAGTTTAGTTTAGTTTTTTTTTTTTTCGAAACTAGTTGTTGAGGTACATCTCATTTTCTTGCACTTCTCCGTTTCAATTTGTTTGAACCTTTTCCGGAGTACGAGAGTCAAATTGACTAATTCTTTGTATAAATTCGGACATAAATTCTTTAAATTTTTTAAAATAAAATGTACATAATTAAAAACTACATAAAAAATACTATAAGTCACAGTGATTAACAATTCAAAATATTTTAAAAAAATTACTAAAAACGTGGTCAAACAAAACTTTGTTGACTCCCAAATAGTAAAAGGTTCGTTCATATTAAAACAGAGAGAGCAAATGATACATATAATAAATGAGAAATTAGTATGAGGTTTCAAAAAAGAGAATCAAATGAGATTTGAATAATAACTACTATATATGCATTAATCCTAAACAAGTTGAAGTTGGCTATATGAGTTCTTACCGACCATATTACTTCATTTAAACTCAACTCATGCTAATATTTACTTTATTGTACAAAACTAAATCAATTCCAAATCCTAAAAAACAAAAAACAAAAAACAAAATAAAACAATACAAAAAGCGATCAAGCACAACTGTCATTATAAACTGCAGCAAATGGAGTAAACCAAAATTAAAGTTAACATCTCTAGTTAGAAATTCCAATCAATTAAAGTGAGTAAAGGGATATATATAAAACCTGTAGTAGGGAAAGGATGCATTACAACTGCATGTAGCGCAGTTGCGCCAATAGGGCCAGCATAAGATGGTGAAGCGCAGTTGTTCAGAATCAATTCAACAGAAACATTATCTCCTCTTTCCACAGCAAGATACAGTGGACTTTTCCCGGCTTTATTAGGCGGATGTGAGAAAGCAGCATCTTCTTTAACCAATAATTCTACCATGTCGTCACTACGCCGCCCATGCATTACAGCTTCATGCAAGGCCGTATTTCCATCGTTATTGGTAATACTCAGCAGTTTTTGAATGTCAGCTTCTATATCACGAACAATCCCGAGCCCTCCACAATTTTTCGTGTAGTTGATAAAAGCTTTAATGATCTCAAGATTGCCATTTCTAGCAGCCACATGAATAAAAGTATCCCCGTTACAGTTCAAGCTGAAGAACAAGTTCGGACCTGCCATATCAAGAAAACCTATGGGGGATTTCGGTCGATTGAAACCATCATGCTGAGCTGCAACATGGAGGACCGTGTTGTTATAAGGAGTTAATTCGGTGGCGAACTTATCCTTGTATTGTTCCAGAACCTCCATGTTACCTTCTTTGGCAGCTACGTATAACAGCTTATCCATAGGCATTTTATTTAGAGTCGTAATAGTGTAAAAGATAATTTTAATGAAAAATATGGAATGATCAATAGGCAAAGTGTTTCCAAAAACTATCAATCTTTGGTTTTTTTTGCCACCACAACTCAACCAATAATAGTCTGTTTGGCCAAGCTTCTCCAAGCCAAAAGAACTTCTTTTTTTCAATAAAAAGTATTCTTTTCAAAGTTGAAGTGTTTGGCCAAACTTTTAGAGGAAAAAATAAGTGCTTTTGAGTAGAAACAAAAGTAGTTTTGGAGAAGTAGAAAAAAATAGCTTTTTTGAAAAGCACTTTTGAAAAAAATACATACTTATAAGCATTTTTTAATAGTTTGGTCAAACACTAAATGTTGCTCATAGGTGCTCTTCGTATAAGTTTGCCAAACACAAACTACTTCTCAGCAAAAGTACTTTTAAAATAAAACACTTTTAAGAAAAAAAACTTTTTGAAAATAAGCTGATTTTTGCAGCATCAAATAAGCTATAAGAAGGAGTGAACGAAAGAATTGATACAAAAGTTCAGAAGAATGGATAATGCTTTGTGAATCTAATAATGAAGAATTGACAGAGTTAAGAACCTTAAATAGACTTTCAAAAAGCCAACAGTTAAATTCAGAACAATTAACTTATTTTTCTATTTAAAATAGAAGTATTATTTTTAAATAAATAGTACACGCAATAATTATATTATATATATAAATATATTATTATAGTATATAGTTTTGACTTTTGTAGATCAGTGTATTTTTTTTCGATAAATGAATGACTCAGATCCGACAATGGGAAGGGCATGCCCCGCGTCATGAAACAAGAGTGTGAAAGAATATTAAATTTTATGCACTGGGGCATAAAAAATATTTATAATTATATCACTTATAAAATAATTACTCCTATATGTAAATCTCATGGCAAATGCTCCCTCCGTTTCAAGTTAGATGAGATATTTTTCTTTTTCGTTTATTCTAAAATAAATGGCACATTTGAAAATAATTCAACTTTAAACTCTTCATTACCCTTAATGAGAAGCTTTTATAACCACAAAAATATAATGACCCCACAAAACTTTTACACCTTAAACTTTTAAGACCACAAGTGTCAAAAGTCTTTTTTTTTTCTTAAACTCCGTGACAAGTCAAACTACCTCGTCTAAATTGAAACAGAGGGAGTATTAATTAATAACTTGATAAAGTGACAATTAACTTATTTTCATATGAACATATTATCCTTACACTATCAATGTATAGAATTAAACTATGAAAAGGCTAAACAAGAAAAGTCGTAGGAAATTTCATATGATTTAATTAATAATACTTCTTTTGGTCGGTTGAATACCGTGTTCTATAAATACTAACTAGTGTTTATTTAGTCAAATAAATTTAAAAGTCGTTGGTCAGGTTAATGAACAATTTAGTAAATCTAACTCTTCTAGTAATCTTACTGAAACAGCTTTGTGAGATGAAACGCTATTTATGATGCTTGTATTTGTGCTTGATTGAGCAAGAAAAATAATTGAACAAACTAACATGCCTATTGCCAAGAGAAGGAAAAACTAACAACATATTGTAAAAAATATTGGAATATGGAGAATAAGATGCAGCTTGATGCGTGTTAAGGACATTATTCTTAAGAATATTTTGCTCATACCGTAATAAAAATTAAGCATATTCCCCAAAATTCAACAAGCTCTTCTAAAGTAAATTAGGAGCACAAATAACAAAGATTAACAAAACAACCCATCCCAATCATAAAGGCTTTTCAAAGCTTACAAATACGTTAAAATCCAAAGCCCTTAAGGCTATCAAAAGGTCAATTGACTTTTCAATAGTAACGTTCAAATTATCCACTAATGAGCACTCAATAATAAGATTTATTTTGTCCAATTGAATTCAAAATTAAAATATATTTCTATTACAAATATAATTAAAATAATTACTATAATAAAGACTCATTTATATAATAGTAAGAAAATGAATCTAGATATAGTTTTGGAATATTTCTTTTTGAGATATCAAAATTATTTTTCTATCAATCTACCACGTATCAAAAAAACAATTGTGAAATAATTAAAAATATTGCTGGATTTACACAAATGAGCATAATGCGTCGAATCTGGTGTCTCTTAGACTATGAACCAGACCTAGATAAAATAAGATTAAATTTATCGAACAATTGGTGAAGTTTAGAATTTCTATGAACCAAGAATTCTTTTGTAAGTTTGCATTATGCTCGCACACACTTCGTTGTTTATCGCAGTTTTGCGCTAATAGGCTGTAACGACCCAGCTAGTCGTTTTGAATAGTACAACCCAGTTTCCCCTTTTACTGCTAAACTTATGACAGTTGTTATGTGACTTGTCGAGGTAATTGGTTCGGGTCCTGTAAGGTTTGAAATGAATTGAGACACTTAGGACCCGTTTGGCCATAGATTTTACCAAAATAAATTTGGATTTTATTTGGCAAACACATGTTTGGCCATAGATTTTGCCTACATTTTGCCAAAATCCCAAATCTCAAAACCAGCTCAATAGCTGGTTTTGGGCCAAAATATTTACAAACACTAATAATATACATGTTTTTCCAAAATAAATTTGGGAAATATGTTTTGAAAACGGATGTCCAAACACATTTTCATCTTCAAACCAAATTTTATCCAAATAAGATTTTTTAAAACAAATTTGGGAATCTATGACCAAACGCTAGCTTAGTCTCCAAGAGGAAAGCATATGTTGAATTAATTGATCGGATGGTGAAATATGTGTAAACAAACCCGGAATGGATTTTTGATGATTCCAATAGCTCCGTATGGTAATTTCGAGCTTAGGAGTGTGTCCTAATATTTATTTCGAGGTCCGTAGCAAATTAGGCTTGAAATGGCGAAAATAAGAAATTTAAGTTAGAAGTTTGACCAGGGAGTTGACTTTTTGATATCGGGGTCGGAACCCAATTCTAAATTTTTTATAGCTTCGTTAACTTATTTATGACTTGTGTGCAAAATGTAAGATCAATCGGATTTGATTTAATAGGTTTCGGCATTGAATATAGAAGTTGGAATTCGTTAGTTTTCATTAAGCTTGAATTGGGGTGTGATTCATGGTTTTAGCATTGTTTGATGTGATTTGAGGTTTCAACTAAGTCCGTATGATATTTTAGGACTTGTTGATATATTTGGTTGAGGTCCCGGGGTCTTCAGGTGAGTTTCGGAGGGTTAAACGTATCAAATTTGGACTTAAAACCAAAGCTGGAGTTTCTGCCTTCTGGTGCAATCGCACCTGCAGAATTTGGCTCGCAGAAGCGGAAAAATGGGAGGGCAGTTGGCTTTGCAGAAGCGTATTCGCAGAAGCGGGCTGCCTTCCGCAAAAGCGAGCCCAGTCGCAGAAGCAAAAATGCTGGACAGCGTATAAGTCGAAGGGTCCGAGATTTCTTCTCATTTTTGGACTTTCAAGCACTGGTTTTGGGCGATTTTGAGCGAGAGTTCACGGGAAAACTTGAGGTAAGTCACTTGTGATCATTGTTAATTAATAACATTGAATTATCATCTAATAATCTGACTAGATTACGTGTTTTTGAGGTGTAAATAGGGAATTTGGACCTAGGATTTGAAAATAAGATTTAAGGATTTGGAGGTCGAGTTGATGTCGGAATTTGGTAAATTTGGTTGGACTCGTGGTTGAATGAGCGTTCATATTTTATAACTTTTGTCGGGTTTGGAGATATGGGCTCCATGGGCAATTTTCGAGTTAAATTTTGGATTTTTGTTGAAAATTATTGATTTCATATGGAATTAATTCTTATAATTTGTATTGACTGAATCAAATTAATTGTCGCTAGATTCAAGGCGTTCTGAGGCCGATTCGCGAGGTAAATGCTTATCGGGGGTAAAGAATTACACACTTTGAGGTGAGTAACACTTCTAAACTTGATTCTGAGGGTATGAATCCCTGAATTATGTGTTCTATGATTTGTTGGAGGTGACGTACATGCTAGGCGACGAGCATGTGAGCGTGCACTATAGAAATTGTGACTTAAATAAATTTTCTGGAGTTGTATAATGAAAGAATCATGTCAATTCATATATCCTCCATGTGTTAGAGGGATTGAGCTGAGGCTCGTATTAAAGATCATGTTTAAGCTACGTGCCAATATTTTTGGGACCAACAGAGTTCGAATTACTATTGAATTATTTGTTTAAAATTCCACCTGTGTAATTAGTCACACCTTTCATTCTGTATCATATCTCAGTCTCTGCTGCTATTTGTTGATACATCATATCATTATGCCAGGTCGATTTTCATATCATTGTGAGCCCGAAAAACTGGAGGTTTTGAGTGATATTTATGGGATCGGACTGCACGCCGCAACATATTTTATTTATTTATGCATGGATCTGGCTATTATAATGCTTGGGCTGAAGGAGCCCCTCCGGAGTCTGCAACCCACACAATGAGCGCGAGGAATGGATCTTCCCTGGGCATAGATCTTGCCCAAAGTATTTATATTGAGGGATGGATCTTCCCTGAACATGGATCTTGTCTGCATCATTTATATTTGGGGATGGATCTTTCCTGGATAGATTTACCATATACAATACTGAGTGATTGACTGTTAGTTGATGTATACATATATGAGATGGATATTCCCTGGGCTAGATTAGCCATATACAGTACTGAGTGATTGGGTATTCTGAGAGTGTGAGCGCACGAGGCTTCCATTGAGGCACATCACATACAGTATGTATATTGGCATGTAGATATAGAGATGTCATATTCCTCATATCTTACAGAGTTGATTTATTTTATTTGTACTAAATTTAGTTGTTGAACTAGAAAACATGTCTACATTTTTGTACTATTATTTTATATTAGACTGTACCTGTGGAGCTCGTCACTACTTTCATCCAAGAGGTTAGTCTTGTTACTTATTGAGTTGGTTGTATTCATACTACACTACTTCGTGTGCAGATCCAGGTACTTCCGGATACGGCGATTGCTAAATTTC